TAATGCCGCCTCGGAGTCACGTCCAGATCGTGAGGTTGCGGCGAGAGGAGGCTCTTCCACCGCAAAGGAGATGCGTCGGAGACATGAGTAAAGCCTCGTTCATCCCGTACCCTGCAGACGGTGGCCGTTTTTGCTTTCTGCGATCTAACGACGCTTGTCGGTTCGAGTTGTTTCCCAAAGTTACCCGTTGTGTGTTTCAATTTTATTATGCATCTTCGAGGAAACAAGGCACTATACAAATACAAGCGATTAAACAATATAACGAAGACTCACGTGTACGATTTGTTCAGTCAAGAAGTTAGTTGTCTAGTTTGAATAATCCTTGTAACTGTTCATTAAATATATATATATATATATATATATATATATATATATATATATATATATATATATATATATATTTAATGTTCATTATATATATATATATATATATATATATATATATATATATATATCTCCCGGTGCCATTTTTTGTTTTGGAAGGAATATTTTGGAATAACTATTCCATTGTAATAAAATGAAACGTGCAAAAATGAAACCTTTTTTTTTTCCTTTTAACTTAGAACGAAAAAAAAAAACGGTTTAATTTTTTTTTTTCTGCAGGAATGGCAGTAATGAATTGTTGAGCATTTTGGAAGATTTGAACTTGTTGACTTGGTTGAAGTTTGCTTAAATCACAATTCCCTTTAATTTTGCTTTATAAATCTACCTGACAAAAGCACTTTAAAGCGTAATGGGATTATTATTTAATAAAAAAAATGTCTCAAGGGACGTTTCTTCCTGACGCCTCCAACGCTACATGACTTTCTGATAAAACATTCTTTAAGGCTTACGACCCACGGGCATGCGAAACGAGTAGAATTTATTCAGTTCATTTATGTCATATTAGGGCTGGTCAATGGATCGACTAGCCTATCAATTAATCGATTAATGCTTTAATCGCGCTTAATTTTTCTAACCGATTAATCGGTAAAATTTTGATGAACCAGAAGAAAGTAAAAATTACACGCTTTCACATCGCAGACGTGGACGAGTACACCTGGATGAAGGGCAAACTTTAGGTCATATTTCAGCCGAAAGCAAACTGTGGGGACAAGACTTATAACTCCTGACAAGGTTCCGAAGGTTACACGCGTCTCTGCCTCTTCAATGCCGTTTGAGTATATCCGTTCAGCGTTGCAGAGACTATTCGGAACAATAAAAACTGGAGGTCGGTCTTGCCGGAGAATATCAACGAACATCTTTGCCTCATGTAGCAGAATTAGATAATATGTGAGTGTAAGTGTATTTAAACTATTCAACACTACACATCGAGATTGATTCATCGACAGAATTGTATATTGCGTCGTTTATCGCATATTCAACAAAGGATAATTTTTTTTAAATATTATGCTTGGCAATGAACGAGACCGCTTAATCGATTAAATTCTGGCAATTAATCAGGTTGAAACTTTTAGTCGAAACCAAGTTTAATGTTTTTTGCATACAATTTGTTCTAGAGACGGTCTTACACTCCCACGAATTTTGAGCATATAAGAGAAATCTATTTCCTGAAGCAAATATTTTCGTATTACTTGCCCTGGGCCCTAAATCTCAAACACATAGCCAACTAACTGTTTCGGGAAAAATTATTACAAAATAATACATGAGGCTTTCAAGACAATACAATATTACATATTAGAGCTTTGGTTCGTCACTGAGCGTGTCACATATCTGCTTGTGACAGGTAAGAAAGAATCGTCCCGAAACGCTATGGATTATTTAGGCCAGGGAGTATCTCCGTAAATATAAAGCAAAATCGAAAACCACATAAACGGAGAAGAACATTGTAGGCTGCTTCACAATTAAAGGGAGGCATTTCACACTAATGAAACGAAGTGTTTATTATAGGTGTCGGAAACCAAACAAGCCCCCAGTCTTGACAGTCTTGGAGACGACTCCTTGGATCGGCACAGGACCAAGGAAAGTCTGAAAAACAACAGAGAATACAAAAGGGTGTTTAAAACTGTATAACATTTTCCATAATATCCAAAAGTAGTATTTTCCATCCTAGTTAAATAAAATTACGAGGAGTCATTTAAATTCATCGCCAGTGGAAAGGATCTTTTGATTTTTTTTCAATACAATTAGATGTTTGCAGACTTGTACGTACTTCAACTACTTACTCTAGTTACTGTAGCTTAACTACTTTTCTGAAGTTCAATTACATTTGATTTCGGTAATCAGTAGTCTACTTTAATTAATTTTTGAGTAACTTCTACTAAAGTTACAAATTGCTTTCGAATTTCAGTTATTCTTTTGCCTATCAACAAACATTCCTACACAGAGGAGATAAGATGTTGTAAGATCAGCTGATATTTGCAAAGAGCGGGATGCATGTGGCGTAGGAAGGAGGGGGGGGGGGAGAAAATTGTTTGGAGAGTCCGAAACCCCCCCCCCCCCCCAAAAAAAAAAAAGTTTCACAACCCCCCCCTCCACACACACACACACAGACACACACTGCAACAACACTGCTACGAGGCGCGGGGAGCGAACAGACACGGCGCAAGAGAGGCCGAGTAACTGCGGATTAGCGCCGAAGACTGGGGGTTTCTCTGTGTCCCGAAGCTCAAGGGGACTTGACCCATTTGAAGAAAGGGCTGGTACCCGCTTCTCCCTAACGTAGAAACTCTCGTCCATGCACTACAGGAGGTGCACACCCTTCATCCTCACTCAAAGGAGGCAACAAAATGCAGCATTTCCTCTGAAACTCATCTGATGCTCTTGTAGTTTGTGCTGTACTCGAAGAATCGCATGCTAAAAGGGCAACGCAAAGATTACCTTTTTGCGTTGCCTTTTTTCCCAAAACTCAGAATGTGCAGATCTTTAAAAGTTCGAAGGTTGTTCGAGAAGCCTGTAGTGATTCCCCCAAAGTTTTTATATAAAAAATAATAAACAAACACTGTTGGGAAGTACTCCATGTACATGGTATTTAAAGTACTACTGTTCAGAAAAATGTACTTTGCTTCAAGTAAATTCTCTGAACATGTACTTGTATTTTCCGAGAGAAGTAAAACTCCCGACTTCAATGTACATTCCCCGCATTTAGAAAGAAAAATGGTGGTGTCCTCGTGTGAAAGCGCGCTCTTTCGAGACGTCATCAGGTCATTTCTTTGGGTGAAGTAATGGCGGCTGTAAGATCGATGGAGATAAGTGCCTTATAAGTTGATTGTGTCAAGTGGCTTGTCAGGGAGAGTAAAACAACTACTTTGCGGCGACTTGACCCTTATACAATATTTGCTGTCATTTTTGTAAAAAAACTGATGCACCTCCAATTATCCCTGGAGCAATGCATGCCAGTTAAAAAAACACTGCGTAGGGAATGAAAGGGCGTCCTGAAGGATTACGTTAAAAGTGCTTGCACTTTATATTTGAAATACATTGACATAAGATCTCATTTACTTTGTACTTTACTGCAAGTACGTTTTATGTACTTTACGCAACGCTGTAAACAAGCAAACACTGTCTAAAAAATCAAGCTCAGACAGTGCTAGACTTCAAAGTAGAAATGACACATTCGCAATATATTACTGAGCAAAAAAAATAAAAAAAAAATGTACGAAGGCATGCAGAAGCAGAACCAGCTATTAAAGCATTTCTGTTTAAAAAAAAATCAGGCGGATTCGTTTTTGGCTAGCACAATTTCGATAACGGATCAAAACCTTTTGTACTTTCTTTTTACCATAAAAAAAATATCGAAGTAACTTCAAAAGGAATTCGCTACTGTCTTACGGTAATTAGTAGTTTTCTCAATTACTTCCTATTTGAGTCATTTCTACTCTCAAATCACTTTTGACGTCAATAGTCAGTAACTTAACTTAATTACTTAATTTTAGTAACGTGTACATGTCTAGATGTTTGTTATATCGAAAAAGATAAAGCTAGGCGAAAGGATCGAAAACTTCCCCAATCTGTTCATTAAGCGTGTTTTGACACTTTCATTTCGGGCTTAATGCCCAAGTGTTGTGATGCAGCATAAAGTTAGAAACTTTGAAAAGGGCATATCTAAACAAGCAACATGAAAATATATGCAGCTTTAAGTCGAATGTTCTGTTTTCCAGCAAATTCGCTCGTACGCAGCCCAAATGACACGTGCAATTTTATCATCTACAACTATCATTCATTCCGTCGGTTCTGAAGGAGTGCGAGCACATTTTTCTGCCGTATCATCAGTTTTCGGGAATTCAACCTTCGCGCTCTCAGACGATCGGTAATTCGAAGCATTTGGACTCGTCTTTTGGTGCCTTGACGCCTGCTGCCTTCCCCGGAAAAGGGACGGCCAGACCGCAACGAGCCACATGGAGGAGAGCACAAAAGAGAAAGCTTTTAACCCGTTGGCTTCAGGACGGGCTTCCCCGGACTCTTACCACAACTTTCGGGGGAACAGTTCCCCTCCTCCGATCCTCCCGGCGCATTTCAGTGAAAAGAGGCTTGCACTCCCACATCCTTCCTCCTTTCCGCTATCTGTCTTGGTTCCCTGCTCTCTCTCTCTTTTTTTTTATACACGCAGGAGAGGAAGGCCTTTTGCAGACCCTGCATCTGGGCCGGTCACCTGACGGAAGCCTCCCTGACCGCTTCCTGTTTGTGCCTGCCTTGCTGGCCGACAACAACACAGGGAGCCGCTCGGAGACGAGCCAAGCGGGGGGCTAAACGTTCCAGGCTCCCACGGTCCATAAGTCTTGGACACTGCATTAAACAAAAAGCTTCGCCATTTGGAAACGTACTACACGAAAACGGCCAACGTACAGCGAAGGTCGTTTGAAGGACCTGAGTGCAGCGGCGACCACACTTCTTCTGGGAGCCCGCGCGCTCATGGGCCAATTATGAGCGCGCTACAGGACCGGTGACGGCTGGAGATATGGATGCTGCTGATTTTTGACATGGTTGTTAAGGGCGGAGGAGTCGTCATAAACTATGTCTTCCTTTCGGGGAAAGCATTTTTCACCTTTTGAGTTCTTGCTCGCATCGCTTCGCTGCTAGAGAGCTGTGCGTTATTTTTTCTTCTTGGGGCCGGTCTGGAAGGTGTGCAGACCTCGGTTCCTCCATTGGAACGCGAGGACGTTCCATGCGAGCTTGCTTTACTTCTTAGGTGTGGCAGTAGCTTAGGTGAAACTCAGCACGTTTCCGGGCCTGCGAAAACATCGGGAAGCAAGGTAAGTTCAATCTTGAGATTTCATATTGCCGGTTGCATGGATTTTATTGCGTCACCCTTCGGGCATTCGATATGCATCATTCATTGTTATAGCACTTAATTCACAATTTGTACAGTCACTCTACGACATCTACGTGTCCGTGTAATAAATTATGATGGGCTTGGGAGTTGTTTCTATAGACCAGTGTCCGAAATCCTTGCCCCCGGGAATAAAAATTGGAAATTATTATCTCATATGCAGGCTCTTGTGAAGAGAGGGGTTGCGCCCAAACGAGACTTTGGCTTTTTTTTAGCACTTTTGGCATCGATGTTGTTCTTGGAGCTTCGTGACTATGCATTTCTGCCGTTCTTGCGCTACGTACGATATGAGCGGAGGTTTCTAAAAAAAAAAAAAGGAGTCTCACAAAAAGCCGTGTCATGGCGTCAGTATAAACAAAGATGGCGGCGCCCATAGAACAAAGCAGACACTGCATGGTCTATAGTGGCGCGTGTAATAAAACGGTGTCAACCTCCTTCTATAGACACACACGTTGTTTACAAACAAGTTCGCTTTTGATCGCACTAATATGTGGGCATTGCGCGTGCGTAGAAAACAAATTCGCGTAAACTGAAGCGTCTGTACATGCACAGCACCGCTACCAGCGCCACCGTTGAGTGGCATGACGTCAGAGAAGCTCCTTGGTGCATATGGCGTTCGCTGTAGTTCGCTTGCGCAAGCTTTGGAACACGTAATTATTGAGAAAAAAAAAAAAAAAAAAACCTTATACTCTTAACCATAACTGTACGAGCAATTCTAAGCGTGATCTGAGACCGCCACCTGCACGTTTGATTAATAAATGCTCTTGATCCGGAATGAGATTTTTACATGTCCTTCGGGGAGTTCAGAACAAAAAAGCGCCAGACACGGGGTGACTGGTCAACAACGTCAAAAAGTTCATGTCCTTCGACGATCGATTAAGGAAACATCCTATTCCCTTGTATCCAATTTGGTTCGTACATGGAGTTATCCTTTTCCTGCAGTTAGGCGCCATGAACTCATTTAGCCATCATTTTAGTCCACCCAGGGGGTTAATTTGTTTACATTCAATAATTTAATACTAAAAATATGTTAGCGATTAAAATTTAACTATCTACCTATATTAAATGAGTTCCCACTTATACCTTGCTTCAGACATTTTGTCAAGTCGTAAAATTTAAGCGGTAACTTTGAAGCTTTAAGGTAGCAAGTAGTCTAACTTTCCTTAAAAGCGGGTAATGGTGTATGCATGAGGAGGAAGTTTAGGGATCAAAACTTCTTAACCCTTCATATTTTTTTTATGACAATTTGCGTTTGAACTTTGACTATATGAAAGTCATAACTGAAATAAAGATTTAAAAAAACTATTTAGCTGCAAGCGGGTAAACAAAGCAGGTAAAGCAAATTTGAAACGTTTTGTATAAATGTCGTTTTTAAAGGTTTTTTTTTTAATCTATGCCGTTATGTGGTATTCAACATATGTTTCTTTCACAATATTAATATTTAAAAAATCAGGGAAAACTTGTCACGTTATTTATGTTACTTCCTGTCAAAAGTCAACACGCTCAAGAAAAATGTTTTCCTCAATTTGTTTCTTCATACCAATGTTTCACCACGATTCGTAGGTCAGGCGCTGGCACGATTGAATTACTGCGTTCTGTGCAGGCGCTATTAGCTACACGGACGTGAGCACTTTGTGTTCCTTCTTCTATTGTCAGGTGAGACGCTCGTCTCTACTCCGCCGAAAGGCTGTCCCAGTATATCTACCTTTAAAAATTGCGTGAGAAATAACACGAATAAATTATGTTTATTTCAAGGTATTTAGATATTCTACGATTCCTGACATCTTCAGAAATGCGGAACGTGGCTCATTCTGTTCCTGTGTTTCGCTTCGTCATTCGTTCCTTTGAGTTCTTGGTGGCGTGTGCCTCAAACTCGTTGGCTACGGAACAATAATAAGATGCCAGGGGTTTATCACGTCCCGCGTTGACTGTAGTGCAGAAACTGATACAAGTAAAACGCTCCAAATGAAAGAGGAACAGCGTGTGTTTATAAAATATTTGTAACTGGTTAGGCAGACATTGCTAAATCTCACCACGTTAGGGCGCTGCAGTTGCATGCGTAACAGTCATACTTGCGATGATTTTGCATCTTTACTGTTTTTTACATTATTATGAACACCATATATCAAGATTTCGGCAACGAAGTAGTTTATACGGCACGTTCTATTGTATAAAAAAGAAAAAGAAAAACACCGAGAAAATGGGTATGCCTTAAGAAAAAAAAAGAAAAACACTTTATATACGATACCTAAGAAATGTCGAAAGATTATATTTATAGGGTAGAAGAAGTCCCTAATAGTGGCATTGCAAAGTGATGTCACAAGTTGCTGCCGACGGAGTGCAAAGAAAAACGGCTCTAAAACTTCAAGGCAGAAAAGAACAGTGAGTTACTGCGATGTTGTGCCCAGTCAATTTGTCATCTTAACCAAAACAGAAAGATGTGTTTTCCATTTCGCCTGCTGCACACGAAAACACCGGAAAAATCACGTAGAACCCAAAATGGCGGTTTGGGCGTGCAATAAATACGGCGAAACTAGATGTCCCCAAACAATACTCTGGCCAATGGATTATTGTAATTTTAATACCTTTCCTCTTTCCGACATTGTGGGGCACAACAGTGTTGAGTACCAGTTAGTGCCTCCGATCAAAAAGTTCAGTGCGACTTATAAAATAATGGTCGTGACTAACAGTAAACATCGAAGCACACTGCACGAAACGCTTTATTTGAGCATGACTTAGGAGTTCTTGAAATTTTATTTTTACAGGCTTGTTCCCAACACCCTCTTGTATCACGTAGTTGGTGCGCGTGCCGGTACACAAGTAATTATGGTCGCAGCCTTTTAGCCATAGTTTTACGTAACACGTGACTTGTAATTCGTGACATTTTTCTGCCCAGGAAGGTGTAATATATTTTATTTACTTTCGACCAAGTAATCATACTTTTTTTTTTCTAATTGTTCATGGCGCGAACTTTGTTCTTATACGAACTCGTGTTGTATTTGGGTTTCTATCAAAATGGGCCAAAGGACGACAAGCGAAGACATTCACCCACAAACCTAGAAGGCACAATGTCACCAGTGCTGCACCCACAAAGGGGTGTCATGTGTCTAGAAATCGCACGCTTGCTCCCCGAGAAAGGAATGTCTTGTTGGCTGAAACCTTTATGTCATGGAAAATATAGCCAGCGTTGTATCCATGCTTAAACCGACTGTGAAAGGAATTCGAACCACTTCACAAAAATAAATTCCACATCCTCGGTCTGCTGTTGATGCAGATACACATAAATACTCGGAAGGCAACGCGCGTTATGTAAAGATTTCACATACGCATTAAGAACGAGAGACGCCATGAAACACGCGTAAACTTCCGCAATCACAAACGTGTTGACCGCTTCAACGTGTTATAATAGTCGAAAATATGCAGATGTATGACCCGTTCTAATCGAATGTAATAATCGTCGCAAAGGCGCCAGAGGCCCTTGTATTTCAACAGCTTCCGGACAAATATTACATTCGATCAGTGAACGTTTCCTTCATCTATACATGATTGAATTTTTTTGGGGGGGAATCAGTCAGAGAATGAAAATTACCCGTGTTTTATTGTATATATACCCTACATTAAAGGTGCCCTGAGGAGGGTTCCGAGATCGCCTAAATATGGTGATAACTCACTCTGCTGGCTCTAAGCATCCTAGAAATCCCTAAATCATGACGATATGCGGCCCATTTCCTTATTAAAATAATAATCAAAGATCGCAACACACCGATTTCATCTCCGTCGATGGGCGGAGCATGCTCCGAATCCAGGACCACTGTCAGTTAATAGCAAGCGAAGGATCTTCGTGCCTCTGACCGGTGGAACCGCAGAGTAATATCTCGAATGCGCGCGGGTCGTTTGCCCGTACAGCCCGGACTACGATTCAACCCGGGCAGTGCGCGGAGTGTTCGAGAGCTGACTACCGAACTGCACCCCCGCGGAAGAGAAACAACAACATAGTTTGTTGTTTTTGAGACGATTATTGCAGTATTAAGTTCTCTCTCCGCGAAAAATTCACGTTTTTTTTACTTCTCTTACTTGCTTCTATCGTCCACAAAAAAAAACACAAAAAAACATACACATCTTTTAATAGTAGTGTTTGTAATCTCAACGAAATTGCCCGTTCTCATTGGTCACATGCCGTCCCGGCTGCCGTTACAATGATTCTCGCATCACCGGAGATCATTTCAATCTTTGATTGCTGTTTAAATAGGGGAATCGGCTGCGCATCGTTAGGATGTATGGATTTTTAGTATGCACCCACAGAGTGAGTTATCGCCATACTTAGGGGACCTCAGAAACCTCCTTAGGGCTCCTTTAAAAGTAATAATGGCTTAACCGATTACTAACTGCGCGAATAATATTGTTTCAAAAATGCTTCTTTTTTCCGGCCGATATTTCACATGAATCATGTTTCCTCAAGACTCATGGACTGTATCGGTCAATAACAAGCTTTAGAAGCGATAATCATTCGACGCTGTCGCTAAAGCCTACTCCAAAAGCGGTTCTATAAGGGTATGCAAACCAAATCGAAAACAGCATCAAATCAAATCCAAAACCGCATCATGAGGAATACAGTACAATACAAACACACGTAAATGTTTTGGAGTTATAGTAAGGTAGTTTTGAAAATGAAAACACCAACCACGCCGCAAATATGGGCGTTCGAAGGATCAGTTTTTTTGCATCCCTATGCCGTCAAAGGTGTGCATTAGATTAGTGTGCATACAACCTCACTTACCTCTGCAACGTCACATACATCTTATGGTTTTAATAATTTATCTTCGAAGGCGTGAAAATATACAAACTCAACTAGGTTCGCTCGATGGGCCTTTAAGCAATTCGTCCTGCTTTTGGTAAACGC